AATTAAAGTAATTACCATACAATCGCTGACACGGTCCTGGGAAAATCCAATAACACCGCGAATAAACGTAACTCGTCAACAATTAAAACAGAGATGCAGCAGAAATACCGCCCTCCTTCAGGAGATTCATCCTAACAGAACAGGAACACCAAAAAAAAGTGGAAACTTCCAGTCCACTATTTCATCTTTACCAGAAACGGGATCCAGGCAAGGGGGTTGGTAAACCAATCTTACACTCTCCAGTCAATTTAATCTGTTCGAATGCACACTAGTGCCACCCAAAGAAGGGACAAAGACTGCGGCAAGCATATGTTACTGGTAATTCGGCGGAAAAACTCTGGAAGGCGTACTTTACTTACCTCCTGAACTGTATATCGCCGGGATCTGAAATGGTCATTTTACCAAAACCTGTTTTTTTGAAATAATAACACTTGGACGGCCAAGGAATTCTACATTCTGTGGGGGACCGACTTCTCACATGCTTACGCAACACATTCTCAACCAACTTTAGATACATCACACACCTCCCTTTTCCTCAGGCAGGGAAACAAAATCACCAAGACCATTAAATTCGATCTTGGGAGAACCTTAAAGGGCTCTCCGATATAATGTGGCGAGACCTAAATCCGTCTACGAAAGATTTTACCTTTTACTCACACCCACACTCAGTATATTCAAGGCTTGATTATCTGTTTATGTATCAGAAAGACTTTTATAGGGTTCAAAATTGCAGTATAGGGACCATGGACTTATCGGACCATGCTCCGGTCTCCATGGCATTAAATCTAGGACTAGAAAGGAAAAGCACAATCTGGAGACTGAACACAGGAATTCTTAACCAAATCAGGACTGATATAAATGATTATCTGAACGATAATGATAATGGAGAAGTGCCCCCAATAATCTTGTGGGATGCATGCAAAGCTGTCATAAGAGGAAAAAAATAGGATATTCCTCAAACATTAATAAGCAAAGAAAAGAGAAAACAAATCAGCTACAAACAGAACTAAAACATCTAGAAAATATACATAAGAAAACCCTAAATACAAAACTAAATGGAAATAGATTAAAAAAGAACGAACTCCATGAAATCCTCTCAAACGACATAAAAAAACAAATCCAGAAAATACAAAAATTATCTAACACAACAACAGAATGGACCAAAACAAAAAAATCAAACAAATTCGGCTATTACTCAAAATTGACTACCAATCGGAGCCCCATGAGTATTACTTGAAAAAAAATCCTTTCCTCCCAAAAACAATA